CGGGCTCGATGACGACGGAGACGGCGGACTTGCGCTCAATCTCAGCGACCTCGTCGGACGTCCTTGAGGAGCTGGAGGGAAGGGGCTTTCTCGTCGGTGATGTAGGGTTCTTCGCCTCACGTTGTGCTGATTGCGAGGGGAGTTTTACCGAAGCGACGGCGTTGGTGCTCTGGGACTGGAGGGCGACCTTGATGAGGTTCGGTCTGCTCGAGCTGTGTGCCAGCTGTGATGTCTTGACAATTGACTGACAGAGAAGTTAGCAAGTTGTTGTACGGTTTGATGGAGATGTGCGACGGCGACGGCACGAACCTGAGCCTTGGAATAGAGCTTGGAGCCATCGCATGGGTCGTTCTCGTCATTCACAGACATGCGCTCGAAGCGCGACTCCAACGTTCGTGTGGCCATCGTGCTGTGTGGTGAGAGGATGACGAAAGATGAATGTTCCCTGTTGGTTAGAAGAGTGCCGTGGAGGTATTTTGGAAAGAAACTGGAGTGGCTGTCCTGGTTATTAAGAAAAGCTTGGGTAACGATGCTGAGCCGCCTAAACAATGGGGGTGAGCCTGGTTGCCGGGGGAACAGCACCAGGGCAGCGACCCGCCCCACTCCCTCCAGCCCCCCCACTTTCCACTCCCCCCAAGGACAGCGCGGGCGCTTGCGATGTCAGCTCCCTGACGTGAACCTTTCCCGTTGTTGGTTGTTCAAAGGTTGGTAGATGTATTTGGCCGATTTCCCTTTAGCCTGGTTTCTTTGCAAGCACTGTTTCAAGATCTGATGCGGGGGTTGATTGAGTCAAGTGGCTTTATCGACACCGTTGTTTTGTAAGGGCCTTGTTTTGGCAACTGCTTGACAACTGCTCCCTGGTTCCTGCCAACTCATCAATTGGTACTGCTATTAGCTGCAGCCTCACAATTTCCAGCCACTTTGCTTGCGGTTTCTTGGATATCATCAATTGAAGCAGCGACGTACGTCGTCACTCTCTCTCTTCTTAGTTTGCTGCACCTATTCATTTTTCGCTTGGCCCAGTGTTGTTCTATTGACACAAGCATTTGCCCCTGGCCAGACGAAGCCTCACTGTTTTTGCCTTCTACACCGATTCAAACTCATCGAGGTTTTATCGACCTAGTATCATAGTATATTCTGACGTCATTGTCAAACCTGCTGTCGCTGCCCTCAACATTGTTTGAATCATTCTCGTCGTATGGACTGTTACCTTCCCACTAATCCCTGTGGAGCGGCACGAAATTGATACGAAGGTGCCGATAGCCATGAGGTAATCACATTCACGTCAAAACTCAAGTCAATCAACTGTACTTAAGAAATGGGCGTGGTCGCTTCTCGTTATTGCTTTTCTAGTATCTTCGCTGTTTGTCTACTTCATGTCGTCTTGCTGCGCTCCGCTTCAAGCGTTTCTGTTGGGCAAAACATCCTCGTTGTTTCTCGGTCCAGCATCGTAACTCAAGGAGCGATGTCTCCTTTCAACCAACGGTTCCATGGCTGGTTGCCGATAATCGACTCTGAGCGAGGAACAGAGCCGCCTCCCATGGCTATCCCATAGAGGTTTTTTGACGGGTGTACGATATTCAATTCCGGGTTCCGCCGATTGACGATTCCCCCGACTGAAACCTCCGGTCATTTTGGCGATGACGCGTCCCCAACGCGAGCCAGTATTGTAATATGAGCTTTTGGTATTGTCAGAACCGCTGGCACTGGTGCTCTGTCCAGGATGCAGTCGGGGAGCCGGTACGGGCCGGGGTGTCTTCTTGTCCGGCCCTTTAGGATAATTTGTTCCAAGGGCCTTCAATGCGTGTTGAGCGTCTTCGCGGTTCAGTAACTCAGACAGACCAGCTCCACGAAGCATCCTTCGGACAACCTCGTATTCTTGGTAAGGGTTTGACTGTGGACGCCTCCCAGGCGGCAACTGGCGAATCTTGGTCAGTGCCTTGTCTGCGATAAGTACTGCGTTAGTAGCGAGCCGGAGGTCGGCTTTCACCGGTTTTCCTGACTCTCCGGCGTATGTATCGAGTGCGTTCAGCTCAAGGTATCTCCGGCCAAGGACAAGAAAGCGGATGTTCTCGGGACTTGTGCTGTAAACACTCTTCAGCATGTCCGGGCTGATTAGTCCTTTGTCCATCAGAAATAAGTCGACGACGGCATTGCCCTACATGCGTTGGATAGGACTGTTCGAGAGGACCCTGATGGCTCCCTTGTGTATGAAGTTATACCAACCCAGACGGAACTGCATGTAGTTTCTCCATCCCCCACCCAAACAATCCTGAGAAAGCGCGTCAAGAAGACGACTCCGAGTGAGCTGGTAATTGTCTTCGTCCTTCCACGTCTCCGGGTCCCCTATTCCCATCAGCAGTTTGGGACTTTTCCCCTTCTAAAAATTGCCACGCTCGCCGCTGGAGGAATCAGCTTGTGAGATGGAATTCGGTTGCTTGCAGCTTGGTCCAGGGCAGAAATGCCACGAGAACATGAAAGAGGGCGATACCTCGTAGCCTAAATATTCGGTTGAGTCGTCGCTGGCCTGCTCCACCTTTTCCAAGCCTGGCAATCGGATTTTTGTTAATGGGAGATCCAACAGCCACTTTCGGTGTGCCACTGTCTTGAACGGTCTGAGACATCTATCGCATGATGCTCCGATTGTCACATAGTCGCTCTCTGGCGTCGGTGACTGCATCAGCTGCACGGCTGTAAGGTCTCTTGGGTCGTTCGACATGGTAACGAAAACAAACGATAGTAATGGGTAGGTATTGAATGCTGGGATGAGTATTGGACGTAGTGAAAGTGGCGGATATGTTGGCGTTGTTGCTGTTGATGTTGTTGTCTTTCCTGTCGTCCTTAGTCGTCGTTCTCAGTTGTTGCTGTCCTAGTCGCTGTCGACCTTGCAGTCTGCGTGGTCGTGCTTTACCTCTCGAATTTCACTGATAAGTAGTGGAGGAGCATGTCGAAGCCTCATCGGGCAACAGCGCATGAGATAAATGGTTCGGTGGAAATATTCAAGGGGATAGCGGCCTGGATTGCCCTACTGCTGCATACCTTATCCTGCGAACAAGAAGGTTCCTTCTGGGGCCATACTTTCTCAAATTTTCTACAGATGGCAGTCGGTGCACTGGGGAGGCAGATTCCAGATCTAGCAAGCTTTAACCTGTCTCATTGGAGTCATGAAGTCTTGCCTAGGACACAGAGAGCCAAGGACCAGCGATTGACAGATTATATGCGAGGCGGCAGAGGATGCTAGATTTGAGATCTGCCACGAATCATACTAAAGAAATGAAGCAGTCTATTTCCTCTCTCAGAGACCACAGACCTTTAGGGTATTCACTGCACCAAAGCAAGATGTGATGCAGAGGAAGCAATGAGGTTGTATTACACGGCCTCGGTGACTCGGTGACCTCGGTGAAGAAAGTGACGTCTACCCCTCAGCTCACCGAGTGATGCAGGGATTGGATGCTGAGACCTCCAGTGTTCCCCGCCAAACCCCACCATCACCACCACCTCTTCCAGAGCTCTCCAACTACCTAACCTCCGATCCGAACCCGGCCACTCCCTTCGACCTCACCTCAACACCAACCAGCCATCGTCAAGGTCGCCTCGTTCTCCCGCCTCCCCAGCACAGTCCCATCGCTTCAAACCAGCGACGCGATCGCCGACCGACAAGATGAACCACATAACCTCCCCAAACGAACCCTTCCTAAAGCCGGCCGCCCTCGACGCCGCGACGACCTCCCACACGCAATCCCGCTTCCGCATCTCGACCCGCAAGCTTCCCATCTCCAAGGCCGGCCCCATCGACGAAATGACAGCCTCCCTCGACATTCCCGTCCCCGAGATGATCTTCGGCGACAACCTCGTCAGCATAACCCACATCCCCACGGGCTGGTCCATCTCCTTCAACGCCTACGACGCCCTCGACGGCGTCGACAAGACGGACAAGAAGATGCTCAAGGTCGCCTACGCAAAGGACTGGTCCTCCTCCCGCGAGAAGACCAGCGCCGGCATCAAGGAGGTCGTCAAGCCCTACGACTGGTCCTACTCGACCGAGTACCGCGGCACGCTGGCGCAGGACGGCGCCGGGGGCAAGAAGCTGGAGGACACGCAGGAGAAGCAGATCCCCCTCGAGCTGCTGAAGCGCCGCGACCCGATCCTCTTCTTCGATGAGGTCGTGCTGTTCGAGAGCGAGCTCGACGATAACGGAATCTCGATTGTGAGCGTCAAGCTGCGCGTGCACGAGAAGAGGATGCTGCTGCTGTGCCGGTTGTTCATGAGGCTCGACAACGTCATCGTGCGCATTCGCGATACGAGGGTCTATGTGGATTTTGAGACGGACGAGGTCATTCGGGAGTACACGGCCAAGGAGGCCAGCTTCGAAAACGTCAAGAGGGTGAGTTCCGTTGGGTGAACACAACGGCCCGCGTAATGCTAACTGCCAGCTCAGTCACTATTCATGGAGGGCCGGTTGCCAGATGATATTGTCATTGCCCTGCGCGACCCGAATGTGCTCATGAACCTGTTGCCCACCGTCGAGCGGGAAGTGCAGTCCGTTTCGCTCAAGCAATGAGACCCTCGGTGGCTTGCTCGAATTCCCACTGTTTACAGGCGGCGTTCTGGATTTGGAATGAGATTTATGGCGTTACAGGCATTCAAAAGTAGGTATGACGATACCACGGCGGTGAAGAGAAGCAGCTTGCGCCGCTGAGATGTGCAAAGAATTAGCTCTGTTTTCCCTATCGACTGCAAATTTTCCCCGTGACGAAGAAACAGTCAAAACGCCATTCTCCAGCGAGGCCGCGATGCAAAGTGTGAGCTATCAAACTGAACGGGAGAACACAATCTGCCGATGCGAGAAAAAAACCCCTCCCAACTTTCGTAAACATAAATTGAAACTCCGTTTCCTCCCATTCACGCCCTTTCCTTTTGTCCCGAAGCCAAAACAAACCGGGAATAAGTCATGTCCGTTCTGAATAAGAAACCCGCCCTATCCCTCCTTTTTTCTTCATTCACCGCGCATCCCGATTCGGTGACGAGGCCTCCGTGACCTCTTCAAACTCCAGCTCCCAACGGTCAACCTCTTTGAACTTGCGGGCTGCCTGCTTGAGCTCTTCGGCAGTAGGCATAGGATCGCTGCCTTCTGGCAGTTCCACTGTCTCATCCTCAGCACCCGGAGCGAAGCTTTCCTCGGCCTCGCCCGCAGGCTCCGCCACGTCCTCAGCATCCTCGACCTCAGCACCCTCGTCTTCGACCTGATTCTCCTTATCAGACAGACGACGGCTGTAGGTGCGCGAGGGACGGCTGCTTCTCGTCGCTGGCTTAGATTTTGCAGTCGCAGTGGTCTTGCCGCCGCGGGAGGGAGGCCGGTTGGCTGAGCTACGGTTGAGAGGCGCCGCCTTCGCCCGTCGTGAACGCGTGCGCGTATCGGCGTACGAAAGCTCGTCGTCGTCCGGGGCCCCGTTTGCGTTCTCAACATCCTCATCCTCATCCTCTGAGTCTTCCGCGTCAAAAGGATCGCGGGTCTTCTTGTGGCGTCTCTGGGGCAGCAAGCCCGTCAGTTCTGCTGTCGTCATCTTCTTTTGCTGCTTCTTTTTCTGAGCGTTCTTGCGTGTGGCGGGGAAATTGGGCGAGTGGGTGAGGGAGGGCGGGGATGAGACATCAGACATGTTGCCGTCCCGCATCGGCGTAGTCGGCGAGGCGCGACGACGACGATGCTTGGCCAATGTGTGAATGTCGGGCCACGCCTCGTTGTCTTCAGAGCCGCTGCTCTCGGGCGGTGCCATGATCTCATCCTGGTTGGGCGTGACTGGGCGAGGGATATTTGATGCCCGTGTAGGAGTCAGCACAGGGGAAGGCAAGTCAGACAGAGACGAGTCGCTGTCGTCATCAATCAGCTCGGGCTGCTCAGGCTCTGTCCGCGAAGTCTTGCCAGGACGGTCTTCATCGTCATGGCTTTCCACACTCTTCCGCTTCCGAGACTTGGCGCTGGAAGTAGCCGCGGCCTCCCGTTCGGGCTGTGAATCTGGCGCCAAAACCTGTTGAGAATCGGTCACCGGCTCAGCCTCCGAATCGGAGTCAGGCTCAACTGCAGGTGGCGGCTGCGTCCTGCGACGGTTGTTGATGGGGGTCGACTCCGCCTCTGGGTTGAAGTCTTCCTCATTTTCGTCCCCAGACTCAGGTTCGGACGATGGCTCCAGCGGACGCTGAGCACGCTCCTTCTGTGCCGTTCCCAAGATACTCGGCTCCCTCTGTCTGCGCCTAAAGTTACCGATGTTGAACATGGAGCTGATGCCCGGCGTGCTGATCCCGCGACTGCTCGGCCTGATGGGGTTGTCGTCCTTGTTGATGCTGATACTCGGCGCGCGACCCCGACGCCGGAAGTTGCTCACACTGAAGGTCGAGGTATCGGAGCGGGGCGCACTCGGCGGCGCAGCGGCGGGATCATCATCGTCGTCCATCGTGGTATCGAGTCCGAACAAGTCGTCGTCCAAGTCCAAGCCCGTGGTATCCCTCCGTTGCTGCACCGGTGTCGCGCGTGTCTTCCGTCCCGCCTCAACTGACGAGTCAGACTTCTGCTGGTCCTCCGCCGGCTTCCCATTGTTGTTTTTGGTGCTTTCCGTAGCCTCGTCTGATGCGCCACCCGCCGCCTTCCTCTGGCGCAAACTGGTGCTCCTGCGCAGTCGCGTCTCCTCTTCATGCTCCTTCCTGATGACCGAATGTTCGCGATCGCTATGGCTGTAAATGTCGCTGCCCGAAGCAGGCGCGGGGCTCGATTTATCCTCGGTCGCGACAGCGGTCACAGCGGCGACAGCTGAAGCGGCTGGGGCGCGACGCGTTCGCTTGGGTCGCGGCATGCTTTCGAATTACTGAGATGTTGGTGCAGATTGGGTATGATAATTCGGAGTGATATTCGGCAAGTCGATATATCTCGAGTGGCGAAGCTACGACCTCGAGGATGGGGGCGTGGCTGAGGATAAGGATGGCGAGGGTCTGTGATATTTTGATGTGTGGGAGGGAAACGCGTCGCGAACCTTCCAGGATGCTCAATCCGTCATGACCCACCCGCCGTCGAATTGAAAGCAGAGCTAGCGCCACACCGCCAGCCACATTGTCAACGTCGCGCCTCAATTCCGGTTGGAGGCTAGAGAGCATCAATTAATTAGACCATTTGCTTTAATGTACCAATCATATGAATAAGATTTCATTCGTAAGTGCGATTTTTCTGGAGTGATAATTAAGCTCGGAGTTGAGAACTTTGCGTCCCCGGTGACACCAACTCAAGTCTATCTCAGATGTTTGCGTCCATAACCTCGTATCGTGGTCCCCTTTTCTGGTATACATGATATTCTTACATCGTGTTGTACAAATATGAGACCAAATCTAAATCAGGGCTTGTCCCATGAACATGCTCTCCTTCACCTCGGCGACAACATCCTTCTTGTCGTCTTTTCCGAGGAGTACAATACCTCTTCCACGGCGTCCCATACGACCTGCACGTCCCAGTCGGTGGATGAAGTCGATTGTGGTGTGCGGTACATCGTACAAAATTACGTGACGAACTGCCAACGTGTCGATACCTCGTGAGGCAAGATCGGTGGCAACGATGACCTTGGTGTTGGGCAGAGATCGCTTGCCTTGAACGGAGGATTGAGAGGGGACGGCACGCAAGGGTTCCGCAGAGGTGAATGATGAGAGCATTTCCGACTGACGCATGTCGGCAGTGTCTCTGTTGAGGGCAATGGCATCAATGCCCTTGGAGCGCAAGTAGTCGGCAACTTCTGTGGTCTTCTCGCGCTCGTTGACGAATACCATGATGCGACGGATATCGATCTCGTCCTTGACTGGCCCTTCATGCTTCGATGCCTCCCGACCGATGGTGTAGATAGCATCGGCGCAAGCGAGGTTCTTGTTGTTGCGATACGGATCCTTGATAACGTCGATGACACCCAACTGCACACGACGAGGGATGGCATGGAGGTTTGGTGTTGTGATTCGGGTCATGTCGGGGAAGTTGTTGGCAAGGTAGTTATCCAGTCTCTTGGGAATGGTGGCCGAGCAGAGGACGAACTTCTGCAGCGAGGGCATTGCTCTGTCGATAATTGAGGTAGTGACAGGCGCGAAGCTTCGGTCAAACAAGGAGTCGGCCTCATCGACAACCAAGTGCGTGACTTGTGACAGGATATTGGGATCTGAGTCTGCCATGGAGGCAAGCAGGTGAGGTGTCGCGATGATCATGTCCACACCGCGGGGCGAATAGAGATTGCGCTGAATTTGGTTGGCGCTGAGATTCGACGATAGCTTCTCGGACTTGAACTTGACCGCGTGTGACAGCGTCTTGGCGACACGGCCGACTTGGTCTACAAGCTCGGCCGAGGGCACCAGAATGATGACACGAGGTCTAGCCATGGTCGGGTGAGGCTCGTCGAACGCAGACATCTTCGACTTGGAAGCCTGCTCTCTTGCCTTCTCCTCCTCAAACCTCTTCTTGTAAGCCTGGATCTCGGGGTTTTGTTCCTCGGCGATCTTCAAAGCATTGACAGCCGGAAGCAGGTATGCTAGCGTCTTGCCAGAACCCGTCTCAGCAGCAAGCAGGAAGTCTTTTCTCTTCTCGCCCCTGACCTTGAAAGCGCTGGGCTGACCCAACATGGCCGGGATGGCAAGTCTCTGAACCGCCGTTGGCTTGACGTCAACCATGCCCCGCAAAAGATCCTCGTAGATTCCAGTCTTGACTTGAGGAATCAGATTGAACTGGTCGAAGGACTCGTATTCCTGCATCTTATCCTTTAAGTGGTTTCTCTTTCCGTATGAAACGCCGGCCAAGGCCCGCTGCATCTTCAGCGCCTTTCTCGAGTCCGCCCCAGAGTCGGAGTCGCCCCTCCGGGATCTGCTTGGGCTTGTGTTCGACTGCGACGGGCGCGCAGGGCGTCGCGCAGTTACGGGTGCTCTGAAGTTCGTCTGATTCATACCGCCAAAAGGTCCTGGGACCAGTCGTCGGGGCGGCTTTCCATCTCGATCTCTCGGTCGGGAGACTTTGTCGGACAGAACCATGCGCGAAGGCGTCTTCGCCTTGGTTGCGGCGCCGCCGTAGCTCGCGGCTTGTGTGATCCATGGCGATGTGGCTAGTCTAGGAAAAGCTTGAGGTCGGAGAGTGAATTGGCATCGTGGGCATAGGGATGCCAGAGTTCGTGGCGGCATGGCGGGCGTTTTGCGATATGGAGCAGGTTGATGAAGGATTGTCGAGTGCGACCCTTGGGCCCATCTGTAAATTTTAGAGCTCAGTTCGAGAATTTCTCCGCTAAAACCCCACGTCGGCGTGGCCTAAGCTCCGTGCCGACCGATGATTGCGCACCGTCAGGGATCCTGTGCCTTGTGCACTCCTGGTAAGCTTCCGGATTGGCATCTTGCAAATCGATTTCTTGCAAAAGATGGACTTCAAGGCGCATGAGAACATCTAAACTGTCTGGGCAAACACCGAGTCTTGTTATCTGTTCTTGGCGCTGGCTTCCAGATTTCGTTCTCGCTCAACCGCATACAGTGATGTTTGATGGATTTGATGGAGTCCAATGGTCAGGTTGCAGTACATCTCGTTGCTTTCCCAGGTCTTCTCTGATGCATACATTGAAGATGTAATGATTCCAATACACATCAAGGCATGCTTCAACACCAGCTCCCTTCCAGTAGGGGGTGGCAGTTCACTGGAGACATTCTGTAGGGCTGGCTGTCAATCATCCAATTCCATGCCGGTCCATTCACAGGGGCGCGGACTCGCCGTCTGTCTTGGCCAAGGATCTGCCCGCATGCTGCTGTGGCTGTGGCGCTCAGCAGGGAGTTATCCGAGCTTTTTAGGCCGTTGGCCCCCCATCCCGCCGTCACAACCGTGGCCGCCATCCCAGCCGCGTGGGACCTCCCTTCATCAGTCAGCCCCGTTTACCACTCTACCCGAGGAGCACGCTGGCGAGTTAGAGGGTCCCCTATTCAAATAAGGTCAGATATCCGTACCTGAACTATCTAGCCTCCTTTGTCCCCATCGTCGCCCGACCGACGTCAACCCTTTTTTTCTTCTCCCTCCTCTCGTTGCTTTTTCTCTCTCTTCTCTGTCACCTTTTGCTCAACATCCCGGCAGGATTCCTTCGGACGTCTGAACATTTATCCAGAAGCATGTGCATCCGCAGGTGACGGAACCGAAGCAATGAGTGCCGATCTCTTGGACCTCGATAGCTTCTACTCGAGCCCTCCACCGCCGCAGCAGCAACCACAGCAGAAGCAGCAGCAGGGGGGCCAGTTTGGACAGCAACCAAACCTGCTGCAGCGCCCTCAGCAGGTCACGGCAGCATCGACTGACTTCTTTGACTTTACCAACTTCACCAGCAACAACGGCGGTAGCAAGCTGGCGGCGGCACCTCCCGCCCCTGCTCAACAGACTCAAACTCAGACTCAGACTCAGCCATGGCCGAATTTTCAGACGCAGCAGCCAAGTGGTGCTAGCGCCAGCAACAGCAGTAACAACAACGGTGGATGGGGCGACTTCGGCTCATTTTCATCGGGCTTCATGTCCTCGACGCCAACCACCCAGCAGCCTCAACCGCAGAAGCCCATTCAACAAAATGTCGAAGAAGACGATGATTTTGGGGACTTTGAGGTCGCCGAGCCTACACCTACTCAAAGGTCATTCGTTCTGCCGCCACAGACGAACAAAGCAAGGGCATCACCACCGCCTAGGACTCGCCTTGCTCGGGCCTCGACGCTGGATCTCATGTCGAACAACTTGATTGATGTTATCGATATGCCCCTGGGCTCGAATCTGGCACCTATCCCCAGCCCAGGCTTACCTAGTCCTGGGTTGTCTGCGCAGCAGCCCAACCGGCAACCAAGCCCCGGCACTTGGAGATCAGGGCCGTTGAAGCCACCAGCCAGCCCGAATCTCTCCGCCCAGAGAGGGACTTCACCCAAGCCCCAGCCCAGCCCCAGGCTCAGGGGCCAGATGCCGGTCATATCGAGAAACCCGAGTCCTGCCAGGAACCCGAGCCCTAAACCAACGAAGAAGGCTGACTCCAACATTCTTTTTGATGCGGAAGAATTTGAGCTGCAGGGCGGAAATGACGACGACGACGACGACGATGAGTTTGGCGACTTTGAAACCGTCCAGACCCCTTTCCCAGGATCGAGCATGAGCCCAATCTTGGATTCCGCTCCAAAGCGGAAGCAGCAGAAGCAGCCGCAGCAAACGTCCCAGCCGGCATCCATGGACTTGCTTTCTCTTGACGATCCTTTGCCTATTTCTCAGCCTCAGCCGACAAGGCCGCAGCTGTCATCCTTGAATCTCAACGCGCCAGCTTCGCCGTATCCACAGGCACCAAAGAGTCCGTCATTCCAAGAACGTAATCCCTTCCCAGGCCTAGGACTCACCACTCCGACAAACGCAGATTTCAAAAAGGAAGAAGACAAGCAAAAGTCTCCCTCGCCCATCACCGCCTGGCCAGCATTCGGCCAGACATCATCTGACAAGCCATCTGCTGCCGTCAAGAAGTCTACCGGTATTGCCAAGCAGCCCACGGTGGAGGAAGATCTCTGGGGCGATTTCGAGGATTTTGATGATGAACCTTCGGCTATTGACTCCAGCAAGCCCCCCGAGAGCTGGGACTGGGACGCGATCGATAACGTGAAGCCCGCGCCGAAGCCTGCACCAAAGCCGGCAGCTGCTCCTGCTCCGGCTGCCACACAGACAATGACAAACCTGCTAGGAGACCCGGAACCTGCCCCGGAAGTTAGTGACGACGCCCCGCCGCCGATCAACATCCCTCCGCCCTCTGTTCTTCTTTCCATCTTTCCCCAGCTTCTCGAGACCGCCAACACGGCCCTGTTCAAGCCCTTGAACGGCCAGATGCCCCCGGTCAAAAAGAAGATCCTCTCCGACCCCAAGACGGTAACCTTCCTCAAGGGCTACCTCACCATCGCCGCCGTCGCGGCTCGCGTGATCGCGGGCCGCAAGCAACGATGGCACCGCGACAAGTTCCTGTCGCAAGGCATGGCCATCTCGGCGGCAGGCGCAAAGGGCATGAAGCTCGCGGGCGTCGACAAGGCGCAGGCGGCGCGCGAGGACCGCGAGGCGGCGGACGTGATCGGCGTGTGGAAGGAGAATGTCGGGCGGCTGCGGTCCGCCGTGGTGACGGCCAACTCGGCCTTGAAGAACGAGCAGCTCCGCGTGCCGGAGCTCAGCGAGACGATGCCCGTCTCAACGGCCAAGGTCGTGCCGACGGCGCCCAAGGCTTGCATTATCTGCGGCCTAAAGCGGGACGAGCGAGTGAGCAAGGTTGACGTGGACGTCGAGGACAGTTTTGGAGAGTGGTGGGTTGAGCACTGGGGTCACCGGGCGTGCAAGAACTTCTGGGTTGAGCACGAGAAGCAGCTGCGGCAGAGATGACGGGGGCGGTAATGGTTCGCGGGTGTATCCAAGCGTATATACTGAACGTACATGATACCTTGAGCGGCTTCTTTGGTTGGACAGGCGGTATGTTTACAGATACAGACAACTAGGTTGAACACAGCAACAGAGAAACCCTCACTCAGCGGAGTAGTCCATTGTCGTTCGTGTGTGTATATGTGTGTGTCAGCACTTGGCTGGTCCATAATCTGAACCGCGGCCTCATGCCCTCACCCGTGTTTACAGTACCATGATCCTGGCGATACATTTATAGAGTCAAGTCAAATCAGATAGTTTGCGCTAGGCGAGAGAGCCTCGTTCCTTTGACCGAGTAAGTTGGCCAATGCTAAAATCTGTAATGTCAGTTCGCTTGACAACCTTGATCGGCGTTATGCGCATCTCCCGCTGCCGTCGTCTATCGACATTGGGGTATCCCAGTCGCGGCAGCCGTCGCTTGCAATGCGCCGCCAGACGCAAAGCTCGGCTCCCGTCACATGGCGCGGATCAAAACAGGAACAGCCGTGCTGCTCGGTCAAGAAGCAGGCTGTGGTGAGCAGCAAGACGGACGGCACTGGCATTAGCGGAGAGACTACTGCAACGCAGACACTACGTGAGTGCTGCTGGAGCTTGGAGTACTGATTTCCTCGTGGAGTCGTCAACGGCACGACTCAACCCCACGGCCGGGGTGTCACTTGTCTGGCCAATCTGAATCGCTGAAGAGACTGTTTCTTTGGAATGGTGGACGGATGGCCGGAAACTAACCCAGACGGCGGCGGCGGCGGCATCGTGTGGCTTGCGGATTAGTGGGGGGGGGGGGGGGGGGGGGGGGGGGGGGGGGGGGGGGGGGGGGGGGGGGGGGGGGGGGGGGGGGGGGGGGGGGGGGGGGGGGCTGGAATGCGGCGATTCTGCTTCGCTGTGGCCATTGGAGTCAGCAATTGAGGGCTCCGCGTGGTCCGGATGTTGACGGCGGCTGCAGAAACGAGTTACACAGCAGCTCGGTTCTGGCAGCCAAGAAGTTGTGCCGGTCTACTTAGTTGCCAGATATGCTCACATTACCGCTGCTGGGATGGGGCGGCGGTATGAAGTGAGCGATAGTGGCATACGCTGATATGGGATTTCTGATATTGGACAGCCATTTGACCGCAAAGACAAAGGAGGGGCAGGGAGGCTGGAACATTGATCGGTACCGTTTCGCTAACTGTCGGCGATTGAGTCTCCCAAGCTGCCCAGGTACCTCAATGAAGACTTGGGCTGGAGCCAAGCAATCCAATGGACGTTCGCGCCCGTACCCGCGCACCCGCGCTAGAGATCAACGACGACGCACACTGCAGCAGCGTGACGGGTGGAGAAAGAGGACGCAGCGAAGAGCTCTTGTTGATCAGGGCGTCCTGCGAGCTGGGTTTGTGGTGGGAGGAAGGTGGACGGCTACTGGAGCTTGGGACGCTCCAGGGGCTCCATGGCTGCCCACTGTCCTGCGTTTTGCGCCTGTGCCCTGACGGGAGGAGCAGTGAGGGGAGGAGGGGGGCATCTGTCATGTCATTGATGTGCAGCTGCGAGTGCGACGGGAGTCTGTAGCGTACCTAGGTAAGGTAGGCAGACACAGATACCGCACATAGCGATGCGGCACCCAGACTTTCCTGTCGCGTGTCGCAAGTCGGGCAGTTGTGACCTGTTCGATTGGACACTCTGGTCGATCGCGATGCTTGCCGTGCAATGTTCCGATGCGGCCGGGTCAGGCACCAGAGATCCCGGGGGAAGCTAGCAATGCGCATTGCGTTGAGAGATTCAACCCTGAAATGGAGGTCGATTCGAGACGGCCTGGAATGCTTCTTCCCTGTCATGTGCCCTGGCGGGGATCAGTCCGAAGAGCTCCAGAGTCCCCCCAAGAGGCCGCCTGGGGACCAAGGGACCTTTCTCCAAAGTTTGCGCCCCGCCCGCGACGAGTGTAAGTGGTGTGAGAGAGGGCGACCGGAGGGAGGCACTCTGCCCTGCGAGAGACGGGTATCACGGAAGATGGGTGGTTGATGTACTTCGCGTGAGGGTGGTGTTGCTGCTGGCAGTTGACGGTTTGCGCGATTCCATGTACAAGCATCACCGCCTGGAGATGGAGAGGAAACGGTTTGAGAAAGCTTGGGCGTAACCTGCTGGTTGTCTCGTCTCGTCCTGTCTTGTTTGTTGCTCAGTCACAGACAGCTCTTGAGTGTGAGAGGAAGAGGGGACGTGGGAGTCACGTATGAGGGGTCTCAAAAGTGACACTAGGTAATTGAATGAGTGGACGCAGGGCAGCAGCAACGTCGCCGTCACTGCCTTCCAGGCCTGCTTGCTCAAAGGGCCCCGGAGGAAAAGGGCCCAGACGCTGGGTAAGCTCCATGTCGCGTGGAGGGGTCCAAGGGGAGGTACACTCTGGGTACAGCTCGGGAAGCATGTGCGGGAGGGGCAGGAGACTTGCTGCGACGGTGGCTCTAGCGCCTTTTCAAGTACTTCTGCTCTCTGCCATCGCGGGAAGGCACAAGTGATGCCGTGCTGCGAGGTGGGGCAGGAGGTAGCTGCCGTTGGAATCCTCAGTCGCAACCCACTGGTGAATCACGTACCTGCCGCGTCTCTTCTCCCATATCAAGCCCTGCAAACGACGCAGCTCCAGCGAGAAGCTCCCCCAATTCAACCCTGCGCACCTGCCTTCCAGCCTAGAAAGCTATCAACCACCACAGATTTCGAGACTAAGAGGGTACCGAGTTTCTCTTACTGCACCACGCAGACCTGTAAGTACCTGCCTCCCCTCCCACACTTCTACCAGGAAAAAAAAACCACCTGCGTCGCGCGCACTTTCCCTCTCGCTCTTACAATTACCTACCTACTTTTCTCCCCCCAAATCTCTGCCCGCACTTCTTCTCGTCCTTCACCTCACTCTCCCCACGACCAACCTCACTCCTCTCCGGCCACCCCAACTCTTCTTCTTCACCTCTTCACCTCACCCAATCTCTTCCAAATCCATCCTCTCTTCCGCCTCAACTCTTCTCCCCCCCTCTCGCCTTACATCACCCTCAACCCTCTCTCTTCCATCCCACTCTCCGAGGCTTCGCCTACATCTCACCCCTCCAAACCCCGACCTCTTCCCCGATCCACCACCCACCTCACTACCCACCGTCAACCACGGCGCATTCGCCGCATCGTTAACAACCTACCGACTCATAGAGACGGTCAATTCGAACGCAAGTACTCATCTACCGTCGTCTCACGGGTTCGAATCGCAGTTTCAATTTACCCACTTTCCAAAATTTGGGTCATACCTGCCCGCGCAACCTAACCCCTCCTTCCTGATCGCCAAAGCTCAGGAAAAAAATCCAAGGTAATTATTAGCACCACACAAAATCACCCCGCCTCGCATCACCACCTCATCTCCCCCGCTAGCTCTGCTTGGGTAGCACCTCTTGGGAAATTCGCCTCATCGTCTGCAACCTGCTACATTGAAAGTGTATACGGTACCAGACATCCCAATACCCTTTCTTGCCCCAATCAAAGTACCCCGGACGGTTGCTCGTGTTATTGCTGGCCTGTAGCGCCTGCAATAACTTCCGACGCAACCCGCCTTCCACAATATTCACAATTGCCAAGCGCTTCGATTTTGCTTTTCCAAATACACCATTCAATTATGCATTTACTAATTCTTAGTCTCAGAACTCGCTGCTACCTCCGCGACCGACTGCGCCCCTTCATCCCATCAAATTTCGGAAATCTCACCAGCTACCAAAATGTCTGCTGTTCAAGACATCCCTTCTAACGGCAACGACCTCGTCGATTCTCTCGACCGCCTCAAGGTTGATGACAACGAGCCGAGACTCGGCCCCGATGGCGAGCCTGCTCCCCGTACGGAGGAGGAGTACGCTGTGTCTCAGCTCACCCTTCGCGCCATCGTCTCTTCCAAGGAGGCCGGCGTGATCATTGGAAAGGCTGGCAAGAACGTCGCTGATCTTCGCGACGAGACCGGTGTCAAGGCCGGCGTGTCTAAGGTTGTTCAAGGTGTACACGACCGCGTTCTCACCATCACTGGTGAAATTCAGGCTATCTCCAAGGCCTACGCCATTGTCGCGCAGGCTCTCCTCGAGGGCGCTCCTGCTATGGGCATGGGCGGCGTCGTCCAGAACAACGGCACCCACCGTAAGCAGCCGCATCTCGTGTATTCTAAGGAGCTCCATGCTGACAACTTCGCAGCTATCAAGCTCTTGATCTCCCACAACCAGATGGGCACCATCATTGGTCGACAGGGACTGAAGATCAAGCACATCCAGGACGTTTCTGGTGTCCGCATGGTGGCTCAGAAGGAGATGCTCCCTCAGTCCACCGAGCGCATTGTTGAGGTGCAGGGAACCCCGGATGGCATCAAGGCTGCCGTTTGGGAGATCTGCAAGTGCCTCGTCGACGACTGGCAGCGTGGTACCGGCACCGTCCTCTACAACCCGGTCGTCCGCACCCAGCCTGGCACTACTAGCAGCACTATTGGCGGCGGAAGCGGTAGCTACTCTTCCACCGGCGGTGGTCGCTCTGCTGAGTACAGCAGCCCCCGCGTCATGCGCACCGGTAACGGTGCCGACTTCAGCAACGGCGCAACTCGCCCTTACGGCCGCCGCTCTGACTCTGACGCTGCTTCCCGTGGACCCCCCACTCATGATGAGAACGGAGAGGAGATTCAGACTCAGAACATCTCCATTCCCGCTGACATGGTGGGATGCATCATCGGACGTGCTGGTTCCAAGATTAGCGAAATCCGCAAGACCTCCGGCGCCCGCATCTCCATTGCTAAGGTAATTATTCGCTCGTGCTATTTGTTGAAACTGTGCTAACTCATCATCCCAGGCCCCCCATGACGAGACTGGCGAGCGCATGTTCACCATCATGGGCACTGCTAAGGCCAACGAGTCTGCCCTTTTCCTGCTGTACGAGAACCTGGAGGCTGAGAAGATGCGCCGCTCCCAGGCTCCTGCCTCGGAGTAGATGGTTCTGTGTTCCATATTCCAGCTCTTGAACTTGCAGACTTTGGCCGCAAGGCTTGAAACCGGGACAGCTGATCCTCTAGCTGTCAGTGGGTCCGGGACTCGAAAAACGCGCCCTTCTCTATTCTGTTCACTTTTCCTATTTCTCAATTTTGAAGTTTTTTTGGGACGGCGAAAAGCTCAGGCATGCTGAAAGCATCACGTGGGTACCAGCAGGTTGTGGTCCCGGCTTTCGCTTTTCTCCAAGGCGACACACTTGCTCATTTTGGAGGAAAGGTTTTCCGGTCAACGTTTGGGCAGGCAAAGATATCCCAGGGTCTAAGGATCGGGATGTTTATACGACCTTCACGAACATACGGCAGGTGGCGTGTCATCCAAGAAGATGACGAGCTATTCATGATTCACGACGCGGGATACCTGTTCGAAGCCATGGCTTCGAAGATACATTAATAATGATTATCGGCCACCGACACTCAGATCAATGAACTCGCAACCCCTCATCCCCCTTACCCTCTCTTCACCGACAACGACTGGACCGAACACACAAGTCAGTGGCCTTAGTATCGTTTGCAGGTCTTGGGTTATGGGATGGCTCTTGGACGCTTCTGGTATTGGCTTTATTTCCGACACCGGGAGGATTCTTCATAGTGATACCATTCCATGACTAGGCAGACAAAAATACCCTTGCGCAAGGCCGCTCTAAATTTTTCCTGTGTCTTTCGTGATGCGTAAGTGGAGTGACAAACGTAGGGCCTTTGCCGCCCCTTAACTTTATTTCACTATCGCCCCCCTCTGAATCTGCCGTCATCGTGCTGCGTTCAGCCAACTCCATCACTAGGCCTAGGAGACCATTCCGCAATCCACAAGATGCGGAGGTGAAGCTCCCATTTGGCGCGCGGCGCAAGCATGGCAGGTCCAGGATCAAGATGCGCTCCTGCTGTGATTGGCCAATGCCGCGCGGGGTTCTGGGTACCTGTTGGCGATGCCGATCCGGAGAGGAGGCACCGCTGGGCTGATTCCTGATAAGGTTAGGGGCAGTTCGCCAACGGACAGTGGAGGGGACCCTGAAGAGGCTTGGAAGGGGTGAGTTCAGGGGGGTCTGACGGGTAAAGGTAAGCTCTCCACCTTATTTTTAATTTTGGGATGAAGCCAACCTGTCATCAGCCTAGGCTCATCGACTTCGATAATAATATCGGCTCTTGTCTTTCATTTCCCCTCGTCTTCAACTTTCTCTCTGGCTTGAACGTCACCCACTTGTTTGCTTCTTTTCTCCTCCTCAATTTTCGTCTGTTCTCTCTTTTGATTGAAGTCGTTCTCTTGACTGTTCCTGTATTGTGCGACCCGGGACACCGAAACCGCTCCCGATTGACATACTTCGCGTCGCGACAATCGCAATGGCGCGCTCGAAGCAGGCCACGCCCGTCAGGCGGCAAACCTCGTCCGAGTACTTTTCCAAAGCCGACCTCGCGCGCACGCCCAGCAACGGCGAGGCGACGCAATCCAACGGCAAGGCGACTGCTGTCGCAACCGCCCCGGTCGAGACCAAGGAGGCCGGCGCATTGCAGATTCTGATTGCTGTTGGCGGTATCTACGCCTCATTGTACGTGTTTTGCCGTCGCTGGAGGGACTACATGCGGTATCGAGAAGTTGCTGACTGATGGATGCAGCCTGACATGGGCATATCTCCAAGAGAAGCTCACGACGACTCCCTACGGCCCCGCGTCCAAGCCCGAAGTCTTCAAGTACCCCGTCTTCCTCAACACGATCCAATCCCTCTTCGCCGCGACGACGGGCCTGCTCTACCTCGCCTACAGCTCCCGCAATAAGCCCTCCCTCCCGCCCGTCTTCCCCTCGCAGAAGATCGTCTGGCCCCTCGCCCTCGTCGCCGTCACCTCCTCCCTCGCGTCCCCCTTCGGATACGCCAGCTTGAGCCACATTGACTACATCACCTTCCTGCTCGCCAAGTCCTGCAAGCTGGTCCCGGTGATGCTGCTGCACACCACGCTCTTTGGCAAGAGGTACCCTCTGTACAAGTACCTCGTCGTCGCGGGCGTGACGGCCGGCGTGGCCGTGTTCACCCTGCACTCGGGCAGCAAGAAGAAGAAGTCGGTCGTCAACCCGGACGCCAACATGCCGTGGGGCATGCTGCTGCTGAGCATCAACCTCCTCTTCGACGGCCTGACGAACAGCACGCAGGATTACATCTTCAGCACGTTCAAGGGCTACACCGGCCCGCAGATGATGTGCGCCAACAACCTCATGAGCACGGCCGTCACGCTGGGTTATCTGCTGCTGAGCCCGTGGCTCGTTCACACCGGCCTCGGCGAGTATCTCGGCATGGACGTCGCCGGGAACGCGGGGGAGTTGAAGGCTGCGCTGGGCTTCATGGCGAGGTACCCTGCGGTCTGGTGGGATGTGCTGGGGTTTGCCGCGTGCGGCGCCGTCGGGCAGGTTTTCATCTGTGAGTTGCCGTTTTCCCCCTCTTTCTTTGAAACCCTTGAGTCTGGAGGCTAACGCAGGACGCAACAAAACAGTCTACACCCTCTCAACCTTCTCCTCAGTTCTTCTGGTCACCGTCACCGTCACGCGCAAGATGGTCACCATGGCGCTCTCCGTCTTCGCCTTCGGCCACAGCCTCTCCAGCCAGCAGTGGCTCGGCGTCTCCCTCGTCTTCGGTGCCATTGGTGCTGAGGCGCAGATCGCGACCAAGGAGAAGAAGGCAAAGGAGGCTGCCAAAAGGGCTGCTGCGGCTGGCAAGACGCAGTAATTGCCTCCCCCTTCTTATTGAATTCCTCGCTTCAAGCGGTAAAGTTGCTCGTGGCAGCCACCGAATGGGAAGGACGAACGTGCCAGTTCTTCTGACCCGTTCCGGCAACCTTCTCCATCACTACCAACCCCCTTATAAGATATCCAAGTTTTGTTTTCTGTCTGTCACAGGGCGCTAATTCAAGTGCCGTTCTTATATATATACATACATACAAAGACCAACAGAGTCTCTGGCGTTCAGGGTAAAGGGGGCTATTTCTTAGACAGAGCAGTCCGCAGACCGGGCTTGAATACAAACTCTTAGCTCAAAGCTGTTTCTTGACCAGAGGTCGTTTAGGATTTGCCGTGTGATATAACTCCCCGCGGAGGCTCTTGGTCGTAATCGGGTGTGGCTCTTGCGCGTTCGATGAAAGCGGTGTGACCGAGCTGTCTTGTAGTATGCATTCCTCATATTCTTTGCTGCACGTTGAAGGCATCAGGCATTGGCTCTGAACCGCTGACGACGGCAATCTGTTGCAGATGAATCGGGTCGAGACGAGGCCAGACAAGACACATCCTCGGACTCATCTACGCCTCGGACAAGGAGCTGGTGACGCTCGTTGAGTCTGATATCCCATAGCCCACTCCTTCAAGATCTTGCTTTCTTGCAGAAGTCGTACTCAAGGACGTCAGCAGGCGATGTCGCGTCGTCCGCCCCAGCTTCATCATGGTTTTTCATCTGAAGTCATTGCCGTGGGTGAAGAGAGACAGCTTCCATCAGATTAATACGGTTTGGGAATGAAAACAGCCGGCGAGAACTATGATGTTCAAGATGTCCAACATGATCGTAAGCGGCACCAGATGAGATTCCGTCCCAACCAACTGTCCGTTCAAGCTTCTGATCACGTGTACATACATGATACATCATCACATCACATCACACGGCATGGGACAGAACGTTTAATTGACACACAAAAGTGCGGCTTCTCATTTTGTTTTTCAAGTCATCTACCTCTCCCCCGAGCCATGCGGTCATGCCGGGTATCCTATCATCTCATCCCTCCCCGTTGACTCCAAATGCGTATGGTATGGTCTTCATCCGTGGATGGACCCGCGAAAAAGGAAAAAAGTAAAATAAAGGAAACCTGAAGGAGACCAAACAAAACTTGGAAGATGGGCGTCGCCTTCTTTTTGAGGTGAGTTTCTTTCTCAACGTCCAATGTTCCTCTCCAAGCCAGTTATCCACCCCGTAGGGAAGCAAGGACGTGGCCTTCGTGAGATACCTGTTGTGCCCTCCCAAACTCCTAAAGCGAAGCGTATGTTGTGCGAAGCGACTGCGAGAACAAAAAGAAAAAATGATGGCCGAACCCCCTTTCCTTGACCCTTTCCGTGTCCAAATGGGAAGAGAGGACCTCTCTCATCCCATGTTTTCGTTCCAATATCGCACCCGGGGGTTTCGATTCTAGATTACACATTTCGGTTTATGGTAGTAAAGTACGTTTTTGCTTGTGACGAAACCGGCCACCATTTCGCCACTCGCTGCGCTCTGAAAAGAAGGCTCGAATAAAAGGGACAAATGAAATGCCGGCTGAATGATCGCTAGGATTCTGGAGCTTTTCGGTGTGCCAAGGTGTCATCGGTGGTGCTCGTAAGCGTGATTCCCAGTGGTTGGTGTACACCAAAATGGTCCGTTTGATTTTTACCAGAACGATTCAACGCCTGTAAATGCCGTAGAGACGCTCAGCGCAATGAGAGAGAAAAAATTTACTCGATCGGCGTGCGTATGTTTCGATGGTCGCGTGTGGTTGTGCGCGAACCTCGTATAGTTGTTATGGGGGCCACCGGCAACTTCCCGACTGACGCATGGCCACCAGTTGGTGTTGCAGGAATAGCAACAAATAACCAAAGTCCGGCCGAGTATCGCCGAATTAGTCCGGTCCCGAGGGCTTGGTGCTAGTAGCTAGTGGCGGTGTGTCCCGCCCTGGCCGCGGTCATAGCAGCTCGTCAATAGACCTCACAATTGGCGTTTCACCTTTTGTAGGCGGACTTCGCGGGTCGGCCACTTGGGTGGGACGTCCGAAGGGGAAGAAGGGATCCCTGGGGAACATTGTTTCTCGAGGCGAGAACAGACCTTCACTCGGTGTTGGCGGCACCTCGACAAATCGCATACCCGCGAATTCGTTGTAGGCGTCGTGCAGCGGGTTGTTCGTCATCGTCTCGGCTCTCGGTGACATGAGCGCCGCGTCTTCGGGTAGC